AAATCTCTTCATCTATCCCGCATTCTCCCGGTTGTTGTGCAAGGAATAAGGCTATTAGCGCTGTCCTATTTATAAGAGCACAAATAAACTCCATTAACACGCACCCAGGGTTGAATGCCACACGACGGGGTCAGGGGCTCAGGTTGGCTCCATGACATCTTAAAAACTGAGACAGATAGAAATCCAAAAGGACAGGGTGGAAGGCCTGTTTGTGAACTCGCTTGAGCGGAAATTTGAGAAGTGGGCAGCTTGGCCTCCACTAGCCAATCCACCCGTCATAGACCGAAATGTACCAAAAGCAAACAAGTGGAATGTATCGGTTATTAGCGTTGTCACTCAAGCGTCCACGAAGACTAAAAATGTCCAAAAGCTGATTACGAGTGTAGTGTGTCAAAAAAGGTTTTTCTTAAACTTACATCACACATCGGTTATAGGGTCACGTCCCCCATATTCCACGCATCTTTACCACCAGCAAATTGACTGCAGCACGTCAAATGGTACACGTTTTTGCACTTACAGTATGGATAGGTGGTTTTTACGCGACTCAGAATTTTCCTCGCACTAACAGTGTCGGCATTTTGCCTTTATTCTTTACCTGGGTCCATTAGCAAGTTCACCATATTTTGGTCCAGCTGTTTCGTCCACGCTTGGGACCTCAGCAGGTCATGGAATGAGCCAGTCAATATTTCAGCGCAATACCTAGCCACAAGTATGAAGAACACCATTTTTATGTTGACATGATATGTTTGACGACACCACATCATGCTTTTATTGTTATTCCTGCCTCTATCTTGACGCTCGTCTCCACCAATCAAATTCAAATTTACTCGATCTGAAAGTCGCTTAAACTGAAAAACAGCCGTGAGCTTTTTTTCTGTTACCTCCTTTGTTATGTATCAAGCTAACCTATAAACAGCCGACTCACCGCATATATATACAGCCTCTCCCTAAAGAATGCCCAAAGGCAGGCTGGGCGTGGTCGCTGGCAGAATGATTGAGCGAGGATGGGGATATATACATTTTAGGAGGATTCGGCGTTCGCTGGCTTAGACTGCCCATGCCCCCCCCCCACGCCTCCCCCTAGTCCACATGTTATATTAGGTTAGGTCCCGCTTTAGGCTCGCTAGACATGTCGCAACGCCAAATATATATGACCCCAGTCTTTCTCCTCTCGAGAGGCAAGATTGTCAGTCATAGCGCCAAAATCCGCCCAGAAAATTACTAAGTCTAAGGGGATAACCTAGCCCTCATACAATTCAGCCGAAGTCCCCCACCCGCAACAGGCTTCAACCGCCTTGACCGCGTAAAAGACGTTGTTGGCTGTCTCGAAGGCAAGTCCCCATTTATTACAGCTGTTTGCAATCAGCTGCTGTTGGCTTCAGCGGCGGCGCGATTTACCACCAGAGTCGGGTCCGCTGGTTGCCGGCGATAGCCCCGCGGCCGGGCGGGCTGTGTACGGCCCAGTTATCACAGCCCCCGCAGCCGGCCGCGTGGCGCCGCAGATAGCTCGCCCCAGCTAGAGCGGCGTCGCGTAAACCACGCTCGCAGGAGCTAAGCTTAGCCGCACCAGTCACGGGGCGGCGGGGGGTGAGTTATGGTGTGCGCCACTGGCTGCCGCAGGAGCATGAGCTTCGGCGCCTGCCGCAGAGACGTCATCTGCGCGCGCTGGGGGTCATGTCACGACCAGGCGCCAGCATAGCCGAGATGATTAAGAGATGACATTTATTTAGCAGTAGAATGTCGGCATTGATGCCAACAAGAAATGCCTGTTTGACTTGATGCGCACGTCTGTGTTCTGTGTGCGGAAAGTTGGGGCCGCACTTCACTGCGACCGACGAACGTGGATGTGTTTCAAACAGTCGTCCATGTTTCCAGGCGATGTTAATTTGATATCATGATTTGTTTCGCCCCTTATAATGTTCAGTGCTTTTGCGGCCAGAAAGATTGCATCGTGAGATAAGTTGGCGTGCGCACTAGGTAGATACCAGTAGATAATTGGCGTCTGCGTGTATTTATGGGTCGTGCCTTCCAATTCACCACCTTCGGCCTGGTGGTGTGCTTTTCCAAGATGAGTGGATCATAGTCAACCAAGTGCACGTGTCTTGTCGCCTCTCTCCCCCTCTGCTCCCCTCCCCCCCCCCTCCCCCCCTCCCCCCAGCTCCCGGCTGCCGTGTTTACGGCCATCATCAAATATTGGAGAGGTTATTAAAATGTGAGCAAAATTGCTATAAAAACGTTCACTGTGTTCTCAATCGTGCTTTATGTAGCCTAGGGTAATGACCTAGGGTAATGACCTTTAGAAGCCTAGGGTAATGACAGCACATTCTGAACACGATACCGCCAGGAACGGTATTCCTTTTGACTATTAATCAAGTCTGTAAATCTGTAAGTACTAAGCGGATCTGTGCGGTCGGCGGTTCAATCCCTGCGCTACGGATGGCGCTCCCGGGTCTCTGTCCAGCAGGGGCAGCCAGGACAGCAGAACACTGGTGTAGCGTGGTAATCTCCCACCCCACGCCCGATCCGGCGCTCAGCGGGTGGCTGGCGGCTCCACCCGTCCGCCCGCTGAGGCGCACGTGGACAGTCCGCGTTGGCGGATCAGCAGGCCATCAGCTGGCGGGACCAGCAGACCTTCAACTGGCGGGATCAGCAGACCATCAGCTAGCGAGACCAGTAGACCTTCAACTGGCGGAGATCAGCAGACCATCAGCTGGCGGGATCGGCAGATCGTCAGCTGACTGGATCAGCAGACCATCAGCTGGCGGGATCAGCAGACCGTCAGCTGGTGGATCAGCAGACCGTCAGCTGGTGGATCAGCAGACCTTCAACTGGCGGGACCAGCAGACCATCAGCTGGCTAGTGTGCACGATCTGAGCCGCGCGATTGCTGACGATTGTTTGGTACTCTGAAAGCTGAAGATCGAGATGTAGGCCGCTGTGTAGCAAAGATGATGTAGTACGAGATGTAGGTAGCAAAGCATCTTGTTGTAGAGGTGCAGCTGAATGTGTGTATTCTTCTGTTCTTGTGAAGCAGCTTGCTCCACCTTTGTATCATTTGCACCCCGCTCTCCTGTCATTCAGGCTCGGGCTCAGGCATTTGGCTCCCAAAATGATTACATATATTGCAACGTGCATTCAAGCAAGAATGACGACACCGATTGATTCAATAAACCAGAGATAAAATCACCCCGACACCCATGTCACGATAGGCTCTCAAAATAGCGGATCATCATGATACGCAGTAGGTCACGAGAAGGAAAGCACCCTTGAAGCCAACGAAAGATCGAGAACCGAAGTTGACGGCTGCAGAGGACGAGCTGGCTTCATGGCCATACAGAGCTATGCTAATGGAGACGGGTCGCACTCCACGTTCGTCGGCTAGCGGCGCTCTATAACATGTGAACAGCTGCGCAGTGACCCGGCTGTTAATCTTTGAAACAGAAACCAACGCGCCACCCCTTAGGGGTGCTCTTCGCTGCATTTTTTTTTCGCTAGCAAAACTTCGTTTAGGAATCGCAGCTTTTGCTCAGTTCTATAAATATTGAACAAAGGAAAGTTTTTGAAACGCCCAATCCGTCTACAAACGCATTGCTTCTGAGCCGTGATACGCAATGTCATAGAAAGAAGTGAGAAGACGACCGGCAGCACACAAAATGACGTGCTCATTTGGTGCTCGCTGGTGTGAGACAAGATGCTGTGATAGGTGATCCGTCTCATAATCAAACCACCATTGGGGTCTAACAACGGGCAAGCCTCAGGCTCACAATGCAGGCGTTAAACCCACGTACGAATGGCACTTCTTACCCTTCGCCGGGCGAGGGCGTTAGATGCTGAGCCCCCTAACATCAGAGAATTCCCTGCACGCCAGGCCGCCCACTGGTTCCTGTTTCACGGCTCCAGCTCAAGTGGGGAATAAATGGCAAGGGGCACCTAGGAAGGACATGAACACCCCTAACCCCAACTCGACCCGAGCTCCCAGGCCGCCAGGCGAAATCGCCCCCGCTCGGCGGGAGCTATTCTTGGCTCACTTGCGATTCTTCTAAGTCGCTGATGTAGACCTAAGGTCACCGCTGCGCACGTCACAAGTTTGTCAACTTACGTAAAGCAACACCACGGTCTCCGGTCGGAAACCCCCACGGCTTGAATGGGACCCGTACCACAAACGGATACGGCCAACACAACGCATCGCAGTTCACAGGTAAAGCCTCACAACAGCGACATATGGCACGACACAGTGTGCTGCCGACATTGGTCACAACCTGCTTAAGCTGTTCGTGTACGCCTCGTTGCTGAATGGCGGTCGGCGACTCGACCGCTAGTCCACACGGAGGTGGCGACGGCCCACCTCGTCACCACACATGCACGGGCCAAGGGTGAGACCTCTCGAGCCGGGGTCGGCTCCGGGGTCAGGGTGACATCTCCCGATCGCCGATCTGGCTCAGGAGAGTATCTCGAGGTCCGCGCGGAGCCGCGATGTCGGCCGCGGGGCGCATGTTTATTCCGGCAGATACAATACGCCAATATTGGCAAAAATGTGCTGCAAAGATGCCAAATTGGAGAATTTTTCTTGCTGTGCTTACAGGGAAGAACTACTGCGAACACAAAATTGACGAGAACAATAAATATTTTGTGCAGGTTTTTATATTTTGTGCAGGTTTGCTCTTGATGAGTCATGTAGGAGTCACGACGTGCTTTTTTATCTTTACTCTCTTCGCAGATCCTAACTATTGCTGACCAAGGTAGGAAAAAACGCATTGTATTTCAAACTCCGAGCAATTAATTTGAGGGGGTCCGGTGGTGGTAATCTAACCAGAGCCGCTCACTTGAAAGTACTTGATTTTTGACTATGTGCGATTCGATCACCTCGTTCAGCATCGTTGCCTTCTGATCCTCGAGTTGAGTTCAAGAACTCTTACGACTTCGCTGCCACTGGGCTGTTGTGCTGTTATTATAAGGTCTTGGCTACCACACGTCGCGTACCCGTGGCGGTGTATGATGGTTGCCTTTGGTATTTCGCGGACCCAGCAGCCCAGCGAATAAACGTCTCTCATTTTGTAGCTTTGCAGCAGATTTTCTCCACCATTGGCGTTTTTAGATCCACCGGAATAAGTGCGCGTGCCGGGCGACTAGAATGCATCGCGCAGGCGTGCGCACGTCCATGCAGATGACAGCGGCGCGGGGCTCAGTCGTATTCGGACCCGATGGTGATGCTGATCTCGTCCGACACGATCTGCGTCATGTGGTACCACATGTTGGTGTCCAGCACAACTGAAACAGTCAGACCAGAGCGCCGCTCAGTGCTGGTAGTGGCAGCGGGGCTCGACAGCCGCTGCCGGCGAGGCGTACCGGTTCTCATGCTCAGTACTGAGTGGACAGCTGGGACAATGGGCTGCAGATAACGAGGCGGTCGTCGACTTTGCTGACGGGGGTTGGGAGGGACGAGGAGAATCAGAACTGGTGCAGCTGTGGATACTGGACCGTGAGTTCAAAGCGTCAGTAGTCGGGGTTCGGTTTATCGGATCGACAACATAATCAAACGCCCCAGGGATGTTCCAAGGCCCCAGGTTTTCGACTGGCACAGACGCAGCTGGAGGTCGGTTTTACCTAGTGAACGGCCCATGAAATACTTTGTTGAGCAGCGCCGGTGGAACCTGCCTTGAATGTGGAAAACAATCCCTCATTTTTTACATTTACATCACCATGCAGTTGACCACCATGATCGGCCAGAAGTGGTAAAAAGCGAGGTAACCCGTCGCTAAGCCCCTTGATTATGCACACTGCGGCAGAACATTCCTTGATTCATAGCATGTGACTTACCTGCTGCCAATGGTTTCAACGTCATTATCCCACTTCCTAATCTCTCCCCCGCTGAAGGTGACCTGCCCAATGTGGCCTCACCCACTGATCTCCCCCTGGTTAACAGTGACCTGAGTAATGGGACCTCATTCACTGATCTCCCCCTGGTTGACAGTGACCTGAGCAATGGGACCTCACCCACTGATCTCCCCCTGGTTGACAGTGACCTGAGCAATGGGACCTCACCCACTGATCTCCCCCTGGTTGACAGTGACCTGAGTAATGGGACCTCACCCACTGATCTCCCCCTGGTTGACAGTGACCTGAGTAATGGGACCTCACCCACTGATCTCCCCCTGGTTGACAGTGACCTGAGTAATGGGACCTCACCCACTGATCTCCCCCTGGTTGACAGTGACCTGAGTAATGGGACCTCACTCGCTGATCTCCCCCTGGTTGACAGTGACCTCAGTAATGGGACCTCACTCACTGATCTCCCCCTGGTTGACAGTGACCTGCCCAATGTGGCCTCACTCACTGCTCTCCCCCTGGTTGACAGTGACCTGCCCAATGTGGCCTCACTCACTGATCTCCCCCTGGTTGACAGTGACCTGTCCAATGTGGCCTCACTCACTGATCTCCCCCTGGTTGACAGTGACCTGAGTGATGGGGCCTCACTCACTGATCTCGCCCTGGTTGACAGTGACCTGAGTGATGGGACCTCACTCACTGATCTCCCCCTGGTTGACAGTGACCTGAGCAATGGGACCTCACCCACTGGTCTCCCCCTGGTTAACAGTGACCTGACTAATTGGACCTCACCCACTGATCTCCCCCTGGTTGACAGTGACCTCAGTAATGGGACCTCACTCACTGATCTCCCCCTGGTTGACAGTGACCTCAGTAATGGGACCTCACTCACTGATCTCCCCCTGGTTGACAGTGACCTCAGTAATGTGGCCTCACTCACTGATCTCCCCCTGGTTAACAGTGACCTGAGTAATGGAACCTCACTCACTGATCTCCCCCTGGTTGATGGTGACCTGAGCAATGGGACCTCACTCACTGATCTCCCCCTGGTTGACGGTGACCTGAGCAATGGGACCTTACTCACTGATCTCCCCCTGGTTGATGGTGACCTGAGCAATGGGACCTCACTCACTGATCTCCCCCTGGTTAACAGTGACCTGAGTAATGGAACCTCACTCACTGATCTCCCCCTGGTTGACACTGACCTCAGTAATGGGACCTCACTCACTGATCTCCCCCTGGTTGACAGTGACCTGAGCAATGGGACCTCACTCACTGATCTCCCCCTGGTTGATGGTGACCTGAGCAATGGGACCTCACTCACTGATCTCCCCCTGGTTGACGGTGACCTGAGCAATGGGACCTTACTCACTGATCTCCCCCTGGTTGATGGTGACCTGAGCAATGGGACCTCACTCACTGATCTCCCCCTGGTTGACGGTGACCTGAGCAATGGGACCTCACTCACTGATCTCCCCCTGGTTGACTGTGACCTGAGCAATGGGACCTTACTCACTGATCTCCCCGTGGTTGATGGTGACCTGAACAATGGGACCTCACTCACTGATCTCCCCCTGGTTGACGGTGACCTGAGAAATGGGACCTCACTCACTGATCTCCCCCTGGTTGACTGTGACCTGAGCAATGGGACCTTACTCACTGATCTCCCCGTGGTTGATGGTGACCTGAGCAATGGGACCTCACTCACTGATCTCCCCCTGGTTGACGGTGACCTGAGCAATGGGACCTCACTCACTGATCTCCCCCTGGTTGACTGTGACCTGAGCAATGGGACCTTACTCACTGATCTCCCCGTGGTTGATGGTGACCTGAACAATGGGACCTCACTCACTGATCTCCCCCTGGTTGACGGTGACCTGAGCAATGGGACCTCACTCACTGATCTCCCCCTGGTTGATGGTGACCTGAGCAATGGGACCTCACCCACTGATCTCCCCCTGGTCGATGGTGACCTGAACAATGGGACCGTACTCACTGATCTCCCCCTGGTTGACGGTGACGTCCATGCTGCGGCAGACAGACAGACACTCGCGTGGGGGCTCCAGCGTCCACATCTTGCGGCCATGCAGCTGCGCCTGCCACGACGGGTGCTTCACGTGGTCAATCTGCAGTGAAACGGCGCCGGAGGACGTTAGACCTGTAACGTTAACGGCCGACAACAATGAGGCGACATTATAAAGAACGGAACACGCCTCCATACTCCGGCAAAAAACAGTTCACAAATGTGGGTTTAGCTCGCAGTTTCACAGGTCAAGACGTCATGAAAAGTTCAAGCCTTCTCTTTGTTTTTGTATTTCTGCTCAACGAATTTCGACACTTAATCCGTGTCATGCTTCTCTGCGCATTGATAGCAGTGGTCCGAGCGGGCTGAGGTTCTCTGACGCCCTGTGCCATAGAGACTGACAGCTTGTAACCTGGAAAGATCCACGGGATATATTGATCAGTTGCATGTTACCACACGGCATCTAAATAGGTCGATATTTCAACAGGCTAAACACCTTAATTTTTGGGCATGTCATTCCGAACAATAAGAAGAGGAGACAGTTATTCTGCGCAGCAATGTTGCATAAAGTCATGAGATCTATCAACGCAAACATTGGTGGGCCCTACAAGCCTATCAACCAATCAGAAGCGAGATGCAGATGAGACCCCTCTCGCCCTTGGCTGATCCCTTCCCGCGACAGTATTTATGGACCTGATTGAAACGATGGTCCGATGATGACCTGCCAGGATCCCAAGGTCCACAACCAGGCATATAGATAGCATTCTCCAAAGATGGACCATGAACCACATGCTTCCGCCAAGTTTCCGCTTTTGCTAACGACTTGCGCCCAATCCCGTCCTTTACTGTGAGAAGTTCTGGCCATTATGATCACTGACACCGTTTATTGACAGCAAAAGGTGACAGAACAATGATGACGACAGCACAAAATGTTCTCCACTGCATGTTTAAAACCTACGGCGTAAACCATAACGTATGGAAGTATCCATTTTCTCTTCCTTAAGCACAGACGAAGTGTTTCGGGTCACCCTCACAGCCCATAAGGACGATCAGCCTAGGAAAAAGCCCAACAAAACAAGTCAGAGGCATGGACATGCCGAACAACTTTCTCTTTGACATTGGATATCCACACTTGTTAAGCCTATTAAGCCTATTAAAATTATTAAACTGAGCGGAATTTATGAAGCTAATGAATTTTGCCGCCTCCGTGGTCTTGGGGAAAGATGCTGGATTCGTAATCCAGCGGCACTGGCTACGAGTCCCAGAGTGGGCGCATTGTTCAACCCGACTGAAATGGAAAGGCCAGCTGGCAACAAGCCAACGAGGTTCAACCCATACCCGAGGCGGCCGTGTCGCAGCATTGTGCGGCACGTAAAACCCTCCGCATTCCTGTCTGGCGAAAGGGTGGAGGCAAAATTAGCTGTTGAACTGGACGGCACGCTTGGGTGGTGGGTTCGGGGTATACGCAACAAGCTATGCTAAGCAGGTACTCTGAATCCGAAGTCACCCATATAAACCATTCGGAATAAATTTTAAAGAATGAGACTTAGTAGAGCTGATAAAACTTGGTTAAGCTTATTACTTAACCCATCAAGTTTAGCGAAATTCATTAAGCTAATTTAATGTTATTAGACTCATTAAGCTTACAAATTTAGCAAAGTTTATGAAACCTATGCTTACCATGGACCTATCCCAAGAATTGGACATGCTTTATCACCCGTTCTAGGCAATGAAGAAGTTCGCCTGGAATGGATCCACCTAATGCTGACAACGTGACCTCTGTTTCCATTCCATTTATTGACAGCACATTGACAGGAAGAGAAAATGCATCTCATAAACCTACTGAGCTGCCAATTCGTGGCATCACAGAGCGGTACAACGCTTTCAAATGGCCACCAAAATATGGCTCAGACTCGTCAAAAGATCTTTCGTTTAACGCATGATGCAACATTTGCAGTTGAGGTCTGGCTGGTTGTTGTTGCGCTCAGCAGTTGTTCATCCCTACAGCTTGTGACACCTGCCAGGTTGATACCTTGCGGCTTATCGGAAAAAGCAGCAGAGAGCGATCGTTAAAAAAGACACGTTAGGCGTTCAAGACAAGTCCAAGAGGCAAGAATCCTCCGGCCATTGCTCCTTATGGATTTCGCCATTGTATCGTAACCACCGATCTTTGTATAAAAATGCCCCTACTATGGCACAGACGTTGCAAACTGAATTTTACGAAGTCAATAGAAACACAGAACTCTTAGCCCAACCACAACATTCAGAACCCTTCCCGACGCCCAGTCGCCTCTGTGCCATACAAGACGGCATAGTACTCAAACAAGACATGCACAATAGCATACAGACGCCTGCACGCACACCCCTGCACAATCACTCGCCCATTGCCCTCCCTCACACCGGCGGCCATGAAGTACACAGACGTCTCACACGCAGACTCACGCACACACCCGCGGAGACGCATGCGCAGCAGGCTGACTAAACTTACACTGCACCGTAACTGACTTCAGCTACTGATCGCATTGTTTGTTTCCTGTGATAGTCCACACAAATTAAAAATACGTCACGAACCGCGACTGACTTGTAGGATTACGGAATTGCTTAGCTCGAGTGATGGTGTGGACAATTTTACCATATTAGATACGCGCAAGCTGAAAGTATTGTCCAATTGCACTGACGATGTTTTATTTAAAGGATTCGTAAGCTGTTTCGACCGATATGTGGCATGCGTATATACCCATCATTGAGCACTGTTATACTCGTCAACAAAACTGCCAAACGTCTTGCATTCTGATTTTGTTTTGCTGGTCCTTACCATCTCTGATGAAGGACCGCACCAGAAATAGGATGTTTCATGTACAACTATCAATACCAAAGTAGCAAAACGCAAGTATGCATATATATATATATATATATATATATATATATATATATATGATGTGTGTATACATGTATATGCTATATGTGTACATTTGCGTGGGTATGTATGTGTAATAGATCTTTCAGATTGAGCAAAGGAACATCATTTCTGCTCATTGTTATACTGGCATTTTTGCGCTTATATTAGATTTATCCAGCATGGCTGCCGCAATACCGGACAGTCGATACAGGGCGGTCTCTTAAGTAGGCTTAGTAGGAAGTGTTTTAAGGATGGGCTGCTTGGGATGGTAATTGTCCATGATTATTATCATGCTACGGCTGCCCAAAACAAAAAAAATCTGGGTTTCCTTCTTGGATCAAAGTTAGGAGGGTTCATCGGAGATTTAGGGTCTGTCTCTGTATGCGACGCCCATAGACGTGATGCTAAATTCCACTAGGGTGGCGGAGTCCTCTGCTATATGTGTCAAACACATGTTGCAACGGGACAACAGTGACTGTGCAACTAACATGCAAATGTGCGCCGAATCCGGGCGTGCCCATGAAGATCCAGTCGAGTCGGGTCGACTCGGCCGTCTCCGGCAGGAAGTAAGGCCGGGTGTAGTGGCGGCGCAGTTCGTTCCCCGCCGCCGAGTCGCAGCTAGACCTGCCCAGCAGAAGGTCTTGGGCTCGAATCTTCCGGTGGATGAATACTTCGGTTTGGCCCTAAGCAGCGCTAAATTGGCAACGTTGCCGCGTTAACCATGCATTATGCGCCCACGAAGTGTTCACCGAAGCATTTACTGACACACATGAGGCACACTTAAGGTGCATACAGATGCTTCCAATATCCGACGCATCAGTCAGCATAACGTTGAAACAGACCTGTAACAGCAATTTCCTTACCTTGTTGGTGTATTTTTCCCCAATTCAGGATGCTAATAATAAAGCGTGCAGCTGTATCTCAGAAGGAACATCCACTGGAAATCCCACAACCACAGATTTTGTTCTGCAAACCACTAAGCTACGTGTCCCCCAGGCTTGAATTCTAAAGTAAAAACAGGGCTTAGCCTGAGCTGCCGTGCAGAACTGGCCGCACGGCCGCGGTCGGCCCCGCCGGCGCCGCTGCGGTCGCGGAGGTGACCCTTACCAGCCGATGTACCACGGCTCCTCGCCCTTCTGCATGTTGGCCCGGGCCGCCGACATGGAGAACACGTCACTCAGGCCGTCGAAGTTAGTCCTGCAGCACGGAGAGCGGCACATGAGCGTCCGCGAGTCGACGGCGGACGGAGCGGCTGCCGTTTTGCGGCGCGGTGTGTTTCAGGCTGGGGCCGAGGCCATTTTTGGAGTGTTTGGAGTCGTCAGCCGTGAACATGTGGGGGTGTAACGTGAAGGGGCTATGGCACTGACGTTTGAAACATAACGGGACTGGGCCTCGCTGCTGCGGGGAAGATGAAAGCCATTCAATTCAGAAACAGCTGAGACTTCATTAGCACGTTTACAACCGAACGACATATCAATGTTTTACACCACCAGTGTGAAAATCCAGGCGAGGCTAAACAAGGTTATGTCGTTGATATGGGGTAGGTCACTCATGTGGGCTGATACCGTAGGTAAAGACAGAGGAAGTGACGGTCAAACTACCACCGGTTCCTGTCCCTGATCTGAACTATTCTGAGGTCTGCTCCAAAGCGTTCCACCATCGAGCGCATCCCGACGACTTCAGATGCTGAGCTGACCAGGACAATGCCGGGTGTCAGGAGATATGCTGTGTCACGAAAATCTGCCTACCTACCTATCATCCTACCTGCATGCCAGAGGGGAGCGTAAGCACGTGAGCGCACCAAATTGCGTTGTGCGGTGTACGGAGTTTCCAGGCACCCAGTGAAACAGACGTCGTAATCGTGCTGCGTGCCGCTACGCGGACGTCGCTGGCCGTTGTTTATGCTTATGCTTAATCATCGTTGTTTCATTAGGTCCTTATCCCGCCTACGTATTCAAATATGATAGTCTACGAATTGGACAATACTATCCTTCCCGTTCTTTTGAGACTTGTGCCGGAGCCAACAATCGAACAGCTGTGGACTGTTCCACATGTACGCACAGGTGTATTCTCGATAGGACTGTCATGCCAGAATCTATCCTTAGCAGTTTTGCATGGCCTGGTTAAGATACCACGTTACCTTCATACCACGTTGAATTATATTTCTTGGTCCCGCAACCATGAAAACGTGTTGCCTTTTCAGTACTTTGAGGCATCAGCTCGGCGTGGCCACAGCATAGAACTACAAATAAGCGAAATAGCTCTGAGGAGCAAACACCACTCTTGCTCACTTATTCGACGCCAAAGTTCCGGTCAGTCAATGCTATGCTTCATTTGCGAGTGAATTAACTCTGACTATCTTATTGCGGTGTCATAATGACTTTCCATGTTTACCCAAGCGGTTTTTGCAAGCGCATTCAAAACGTCGGAGCCTGGCGCTCTGGCACTGGTTAAGTTTATCGGGGGGTTGATGGCATACGTTTTGTCAAAGCTTGAGTTCACCACATCATCCAGAGTCAGCTCCAGGACAGGTGTTTGGAAGACAAGTTTGAATGAAACACGGCCTGCTGAAGGCGGTTGTCTCGTCCAATGTTTTTTGACTGCACCCGACAGGTGTTTGACTGAAGTGAGCTGTAGCGAAGACTATATATATATATATATATATATATATATATATATATATATATATACATATATATACATATTATTTGGAATAATACATATTATTTGGAAAAGCCGTCCAGTAGCATTGTTTTTTTTTCCAACCCACAGGATCATGTAAATCGAGAATGACCACACCTTAAAGGCGTATACGCTATATGCACACGAACAAGGGCGGCGTCAGTCAGTACCGGTAGGAGGCGAATATTGCGGATGGACTTCATCCTAAATGGCAATTTTTCGTGCAATCGTCATCGTTTGGCATAAAAGCCCATGCACAAAGCACTTCGGTCAGCTTCCGCTCAGGCCGGCGTCAGCTGTCATTAGTTCTGAGGATGTCTGGGTGGTGTTCGGCTGCCACCCACTCACGCATCAAAACCCAAGTCTTCTCCTTGGGGTGAATCGGTGTATTCTATCCAGGATCTAGCTAACAAACAATTGTTCTATAAAAAAAATTGGCCGTTGTCAAGTTTGGTCCGCGACTGACGAACCTGACCACGGCCGGATAATGAAATGCCCGAAACGTTGCGTACATACTGACACAACAGATGAAGACTATAGTCCAAACAATTCTTCCATCCGGGTTACTTCGTCTCACTAATTCCTTCAAACTGAGTGCTATATATACTTATGAGAAAAAAAATTTACGACCAACCTATTACCTGTTTATGATCATCCGTCTATAATTTCAACTATCGTTTCGCAAGCGTCTGATAAAACCCAATGGAGCCAGGTTCCTGGTGACCAAATAGTGATATTCCAATAACGCGACTGCACTGTGCACACCGACGCGCAAATGTGTCCACGGCTGGCTTTAGTGGTTCTCAAACTGACGGCCTTATTTACAGTACCTACAGCAGCCACCGTAAAAAGCAACTAGGCAACTTGCGTTTTTACGGTCTTTTCGGCTTTAGACATGGGTTCATGTTCATCGTAGCATTGCTACAACAGAAAGATAAAATCTGACAGTTTGTGTCCATATTCCCTACAATTCCCGTCTGAGCCTATTTTCTGCCTGCAGTTCCACAGCCACCTTTTTATTCTCCTTTCTGAGTTCTGCAATGTTAGCCGTCTCTATATAAGACGGGTGGAGAAGATTGCGAGGCCTCTACCGGAGGCACAATTCCTGCATCTACCACGGAAACAAAATGCTTCTGAGCATCTAAAGATTCTATGCACACGTGCTTGTCTCCATCTTTGTAACGTAACATGTCGTACTGGGCCACAAAAAACGCGACATTACAAAGCATGTTTCTACCAGGTTTGTCTTCTGAGCACGCTATTGACAACATTTGGAAAACTTGTATACATCCCAGGAGAATTTATGCTTTCGCCGCAAGACTGAGCTTTTTGAACTTCCATATTAATCCTGCAAATTTTGATTTCGGAGTTAAATTGACCTCCATGAAGTTCAACTGAAATTGAGACATGAAAATAAGGCTTTGGGTCTAGATATTTTTGGCTTGTAATGCCCGAGAATGCACCCATTTCGAAGCGCATGAGCCGCCAAAATTTGCTGCAAGTTTACCGGCAGACCCTTGCGTTAACACCCACGCCGGTCATGCAAAACTCCCAGCCCGAGTCCCCGCAACAACGAGTACGAAAGCGCAATTAAACCCTATCGCATTCGTTGCCCTCGACCTGAGGAGAAAGCTCGGTCGTGCCTCCAATCACCAGCGCTGCCAATCAACGAGCCAGCCCGGATGGCGAGCGTTCGTCCCCCCTCCCCCTCCCCCACACGTGAGCCGACCTGGCCGCCGACGTTGCGCCGCCCCCACCCGATGCACGCGCGGACGTCATCAGCGGATGATGCGGAACGCGCTTACTGCGCTCGCGATTGTGCCTGCCGGTGTCCGCTGCGCGTCACTTTGTCTGCCAAAGGTCGCGGCCCGGCGCCGGCACCCCGGACCAGGTGAGTCAAGCGGTCACAAACGGCCCGTGCCGGGGAACGCCTGCGCACCCCTCTCACATTCGGTGACCTCTGACATTCCGTTCCGCGGGCAAAACAGCGCGGCTCGACAGCCGGGCGGCCGAAAGTCGAGCCCGGCGCTCAGTGACCCGTGTGACCCGTGGAGAGTGCAGATCCGTGGCGAACTAGGCACGAGCGGATGCTGTTACGCACCACAGCCCGTTCAGCTACTGGTCTCTTCAAGCTTCCAAAAACAAATAAATAAATTCAGTCGTCTCACCATGGTACCGAGTGGGAAGAACCCATGCCGGCGTCCGCCCCTCTGGCCTACGGATTTTTTTCTTATGTTCGCCGGAATGGACATCGTTCGCCATATTCTTTGTCCGGAGAATTCCTAGCATGTACAGGCTTCAGGGACGTGTTCCACTGCTTGTGGTTAGTTCGTTGGAAATTCCAGGACGAATTAATTGCATGCTCTTTTGCACCCAATCGTTATCACTCATCGCTGGAAATCCCTGTTGGAAAATCCAACCCATGCAAGAGAAACGTTTCATTCGTTATCTTACCAGACATTGCATTATGCATATAATATTATGCATTTGTATTTCCATTTACTCGCAGCCCATCCAGAGGACGGTTTTTCCGGTCTTCGGTCCATTATAATACAATAACGCACGATACTAACATACGCACGAAGTCGAAACGATAAATTTTATAGATATTTGCATTCGAAATAAAGATACCACGTGTAAAAGTACACGGAACACAGCAATGCCATACAGGACTGCGTGCAGGATAAGTGCATATATTTACACAAGCTACCTACGCGTGTGGAAAAAAACCACCTTGGCTCAAAACCAAGCCAGAGGACCTAACATTTTCGTTTTGAAATGAGAGATTCTGAGCCACTGCAGATGACGTCACGGTGCGGTGGCCAGAAGCAGGTGGACGCATGCTGTCGTGGCGCGATCAGGATATCTCCCCTTACTGACTGTCCGTCGGCACTGGCCAGGCAGAGAGACCCTGACAGGGAGAGGTGCCTTTTTCAATAAAACAGAGGAACGCGGCTTTAAAAGAGATTGAGAGGCCAGGGTTGGTGGAGGGGGAGGGCAATCCCTTGCTTTTCAGAGCTTTACACGCTTTCATGACTTTCCTCTTTCCTACACAATCAGCAATCCGGGCCAGCCCAGAGGCCCCAGAGTCGGTGAGCTAAGCTGGCCGTGTTTAATAGCAGAGACAATCCTGGTGGCGGCATTTTAAGTTCCTGAGTCTTCCTCACCTGGTACCTGGCCGCGCCACCTCATAAGCATAAGCGGTAAGAGACGTACCTGAAGATGTAAACTAAACGTACCATTTTGAGGAGATTAGGTGTTAAATAATGCTCGAGATGCTACAGCGAGATGCTCCGCAGTCCATAACGGAGCCCCTATAGGTTAGATTGGGCCACTATAGGTCAGTATAGGATCTCTACGAGTCAAAATGGGCCCGTGTAAGGCCAGAGCGGGCTCTTTTCAAGCCAAAAGGGCCCCTCTATATGCCAGAAAGAGACTCTCGGCTGGTTAGTATGGGCCTCCATAGTCGATAATATGCCTTCTATAAGTCAGAGTGGACTCTTTAGAGGCTGGAATGGCCCCTCCTCAGCCAATAATGGCTCCTCTACGGGCCGGAATGGGCACTGTACAGTCGATAGTGGGCCCTGTGCAAGCCAGAAGGAGCCCCTGCGCATGTCATAATGAACCCTCCAAAGTCGGTGATAGAAGATCGACAGATCAGAATGGGTCCTCTAAAGGCCACAATTGGGTCTTCACAGTCAATAATAGGCCATCTGTAGGCCAAAATGGGTCCCCTACAGGCCAGCATGATGGGAACTGCAGTCAATAATGGGCTCTCTACGAACCTGAATGGGCCCCTCTGCTGGCCAGAATACGTCATGTACGGGCCAGAATGAGCCCTCGACAGTCAATACAGGACGCTCTACACGTCAAATGGGCCCGCTATAGGCCAGAATACGCCATCCAGTTAATGTTAGACCCTCTACGGATCAGACTGGGCCTTTACAGGCCAGAATGGGTTCTTCACAGCTAATAATGGGCTTCGTTCAGGCCGGAATGGGCCCTCGATAGGCTCAGAAGTGCCCTCTTTGGTCAGAATGGGTCCTAAAAAGGCCAGAATAAGTCCTCGACAGGTCAGAATGAGCCTTTACATGCTTCCATAATCTCTTTACGGTTCAGAATTACCCTTGACAGACCAGCATGAGCCTCTACAGGCCCTGCAAGTTGGGAGGTGAGTTGCACCCACTGCCCCCAGCCCCCTTCCCGCGTCCTTATGCACGCAGGATATCGCAATAGGGGGGGGGGGGGGGTCAACTCAAAATCGCTCACGGAAAATCTACGTTGGCGTGATGGGAGCTGCTTATAGGGCATATAACATAATTGCATGTTTTCAATCTCATTTTTGTTGCGTATCTGTCACTTCTTTTTGCATGCATTTTCAGTTTTTCAGGGACATTTATGCGCGTAAAAAATTGATGAGATGGATGACGGGGATGAGAAGTCCATGGATCACCGGCAGGGGCGTCAGTTCTCACCGTACCGCCTGCGTCGACCATTCTGTTACCTTTCGAACTTACCGGGGTCCAAACCACACCACCGAGGTTCTGTCACAAACATGTTATGATCACGTGTTCACATCATGACTTCAGCGTCTCAGAAAATCATCGTGCGTGATCTCACTCTACCAACTGTTCAGACCGCTGCAAACCTGAAGTTCCATCTGTCCTGTACTGTCTGTTCTGAAGTTTTGTCCGGGGTGCAGTCATGACCAGCGCCAACCGAAGCTCTCCGGGAGCGGCTCACTTGTATGGGAAGAACTGGCAGCCCGCCTCCGTGCTGTCCGCCGCGAGTCTTCCCGAGCTTTCCGCATACAGCTCCTTGAAGAACTGGAAGTTGAAGACGGCGGGGGCCGTCCAGTTGGCGGTGCCGTCCGTGATGATGACGGGTCGGCCCGAGTACGCGTACCTGCGACGCCAAGGGTCAAGGTCAGCCGGGTCACACGCCGGACACCGCCCGATGTCGACTCGTCTGGCGTGATGCAGGATGGCAAAGCAGGATGGTTAACAGCCATACTGCCTTTGTGTGAGTCCGCTTCGTTCAACACGATGCTGTGATATCAAATGCCCCAATGGCACAAATAGACAGACGCAGTCAAGGGCTTTTGAGGAGCGGCTGGTACTAAACGATTCCTCATCTGAATATGTAAATGTGCGTGGTCGACAGGTCGGTCGCAGATATAGGAACTGAAACCGGCGTAAACCTGTGGGTGCAGCTATATGTATGCATATATATATATATATATATATATATATATATATATATATATATATATATACACTGGGTGATCAGGACAAGATGCGTATATAGTATTAACGTGTGATACAATGTGGGCAATGAGGGCGAAAGTCGGACATCAAATTGAGAGTCGTAGCTAGGCGAGGAAGCCAAAACAAGTGGCGTAAGTTCCCCCCGCCATAACATTGCGACAAAGCATTCGGTGACCCGGCACCCGTTGGTCGCTGTCGTGACTCAGATAATGCATGTTCGTGTTTGCAATCCAGCCGAGCCGTAGATAAGTACCCTAATCGTCGTCGTTGTCCCGACCGGCCTGCGCCGCTCCGCTCAGACCAGACCGCTCCGCAGGTGTGCTGGCGTTTGGCCAGAGTACGTCACATCACGTTGTAGCTGGTGATCGCTCTGTTCCTTCATAACTGCACTGGATGGTGGAATCCACATATTTATTTTGCACGAGTGTACGTGGCGTTATGCAAGTCACCTTGGGGTCCTCGAGTGACTGGCCGGTTTTGAAGGGAAATTGTGCGGTCATGGGCCACAAAACACCGGGAAAGTCATGAGCTTCTTACCTTGGGTCTAATGGGCTCTGGAGCGAAACCTCACCATGGAATCGCGCCCTGATCGTACAGGCACTCGCCCTGAGCGCCTTCCCGGACACATTCATCTGTACCGAGACGATTCATCGCCGTCTACCACCCAATGAAGCGATCTAACAGCCCGACGTCCCCACCGGACAATCCAGCAGCCAGTGCCGGAAATAGCGCTGCCTCCAGTCGGGGGGACGACTGCAGATCGTAGGCGAAAGCCCAGCTTAAAGTGCAGGCAGCCGTCCAGCGGATGGCCACACCGTCAGCGTCAGCTCTCCGCTCATGGGGCGCCACCTCCCGCCGGGCGCCAGCTGAGCCACCAGGCGTGTGAGCGCTTCCGGGTGCACTACGCGCGAGCCCGCCAGAGGCAGTGACGCTCGCTGCCCCAGGGTAGCTGGACTGGTGCAGGTGTTGCGCCACACGCCGGCCACTCGCACCGGAGCGCATTCTTCCGGCAACATCTAGCGCAATATTCAGCCTAACGATGAAGAAAAACATTGGACAGGGAAGACGCTGGGTTGTGTGATGGTCTACGCTTTGCGTGGATTCATGTACTTAATGGCAATGCCGCTTGCCGACTTTGTAGAACATTTCCCGTTGACACTCTGGGATGTGAAATTTCTTTGTTGCAAAAGGATGTACCACACGGTCGGGAAACAAGCCCGAAGCAAAAACAGGCTGCAAGGCAAATCAAGGCACTCCGGCGATACGTGATCAACACCATTTGATGAAGGCCATAAAAGTCGTTTGCTTGGGCTGATGTGTGGGTTTATGTGTGGGTTCATGCGTGGGTTAATGTGTGGGTTCATGCGTGGGTTAATGTGTGGGTTCATAAGTGAGCTCATGTGTGGGTTAATTTGTGAGTTCATATGTGGGTCCACGTGTGGGGCCCGAGCGCAGCCAGTTTCGGACGTTCGGACGCGGGCCACCGATGCGCTCGTTTTGAATATGTTTCCTGATTAATGTTGGATATCGACAGAGGAAAAATGCATGAATTCAGCTGCACAGCATAGACAAATGCATAATCTATACATCGCAATATGCTCCAAACACTGTCCAACCCACTGCTACGCCAGAAATCGATCGAGAAAAGTTCAATGTCAATTCTTCCGAGACCTCGCGGCCTCGAGGGCCGCTAGCTGCGCCGTCTCTGGGATGGAGTGGAGGTAGACCGTGAAACTACGGGGGTGGGTAGTCAGGCTCGCTCTGCCCAGCATGTGCGCAAAGTGTTTTCTTTTGGAAATATTTCGGTCACGGTTGCCGAAAACATAAATCGTAATCTTTTGTTTCGCAGACCGAAATCGCCGAGCCTGTCCAGACCCAATGGTTTAATGCTTTTGGCGGTGTGGTCCGTGAACTAAGATGGGATCGCTTCTTCAATAAGTCTGCGTGCTAAGCCCTCGAGAACAACGGATTATAAACATTAAAGACATTTGTGTGAGTTCCAAGACGTATCTAGGGCCTAATAGCTTACCATCCGGTGTGATTCACAACATGATAGGTCAAGGATCGGGTTTCTGATGTACGCATACGAGTTTCTGGACGTGAGGCAAGGCGACGTGATCAGAATAGAACTACTAATACGGAAGGCGTTTGTGTCTATTTTTACCATGTCAACAGTTGAGCTTTGCTTACTTGAGCTCGAACTCTTGCGGAGTGATGTTGGAGACCCGGTCCACGTCCAGCACATCTGAGCACCTGCTGCAGTTGTTTGGCGCCGCCGTCAGGTCGGCCATTATCGGATGCATCTCGATCATGCACTGTCGACCCCACAGCTCGCGTCAGCAGCCGTAACAACATCTCCAGCACGAACTGGCCGCAGCACATGTGCAAGTGAGAGCAGCGGCAACATCCCGGCGCACACTCCTGACATCACTTGCGCTAGTCAGTTGTAGCGACAGCATTGCGACCGCGCATTGCCGAAAAACACCCAGTACGCGCTTGCATGGCGGTTTGCCTGCATGTGAGCCCAAATTCGAGCCGGCGATGCTAGAGAAGGCACGGCCTTCCGTGTAACTGGGGTGCGGCCAAGAGTTTGGGCGTGGTCTCCATAGCAGCCCTGAGTGTGGTATGAGCGTGCTCCCTTTGCAGTTCCGTGGGCGTGGTCTCGGATGTCACCGCACTTTGTGCTATGAATAGGTCTCCAGTGCTCGAGGGTGCAGTCCCCGTTTTGCCGGCGTGTACTTCCTCAGTGTAGTACCGACCGTAAGCATGGCCTTCTGTGCAGCGGCTCTTTATGCCATCCCATCGACTTTCACAACTAGTGCTTTAAACGGGGAAACCTGTTTGAGGCAAGACCAGCCCATCCAGTTCCAAGCTCGGTGACCTCAATTAGGGCCGCTCTCCAGAGTGGGGACCAGCTCTACACGCGCGTATGGCAGCACTGACATGATGGTATGCGCCTGGACCCTACGGGCGTGTCCGGGATCCCATAGGGCTCCAGGCTTATGGCATCCCTGGAACGGACACTAGGATCTTTTTTGGGGGGCTCCAGGGCATGTCCGCTGACAAGGGCGTCAAAATGGGGTTTCCAAAATCGCATCATATGTGGAGCCCTATGGCCTGGCAAAACCACAACAGGGACAAACACGGCGTGTTGACATTGGTAAAGAGTGTGGCCCGAGTGTGCATGCACCCTGTGGACCTCGCTATCCTCCCAGCCCAAGACTTCTTTTGCTGTTTTTCCTTTGTATGCCGGCGCTATCGGCTGTAAGTATTCACTTTACTGGGTCCCCATCATTTCCCCAGTTTCCTTCAAATAACTGGGATCTCGTGTAGCTTATAAGCCGTCTACCAAGCTTTGATGTTTGGGAGCTGCAGAATGAGCATATTGCCATAAAACTGTCTTTGGTCGTATATATATATATATATATATATATGCAAGGAAATTGAAATGTTTGAATGTATATGTACTTGATGTACATGAACTTGCATATATATATATATATATATATATATATATATATATATATATATATATATATATATATATCTATATATATATATATATATATATACGCATCGTAATCCAAAATGTTATGCATTACATTACAGAGCTGTGTGTACCTGGCCCGCACAGAGGCACTGAAGTGTGTGGAACGGTCAAACCGCGGAAATGTCATACACGGCTCACCATCTATTCAGTTATATGAAAACCGGTGACGCGGTTTTCGGCCGAGTGCGCAGACATGGCCCACGAGATCGCTACGTGATGCTCGTGCTTCGGAGCTGAAAAAACTGTCTTCTAGCATTCGTTCGACGTCCACCGAGGGCCTGGAGCGACGGTGATAAAGCGGGGAACGGCTCGTGCGTTCCTGGCGCCGCTGGTGAGAGTCCTGAAAACCAGGACCAGCATTTTGCCACCCGGGGGGAGCCTCCCGGTGCCGGGGACCAAGCGTCTAACGCTGAGGCCGAGCCTGCTGCCACCGGCGCCGCCAACCGCACGTCCCCAGCGTGGGGTCGGCCACGGCTCGCCCGTACCCCGGTCCACGGCAGGAAAGTAGTAGCGCCGACGAGCGCCGTGACGCAACGCCATATAGAAAGGCGGGGCCGACGGCGCCCGCCCGCGCGATCCGCGGCTCGCCGCGCCTCTCACGGCCGTCCAGCGCGGGGCTCGCACACTCTGCATTCAACAGGTGCGCCCCCTGGGACAGCGGCGGGCCGCACAGTCGGCGGCTCTCCGCCAGGTCCAGTCACGTGCCTCGCCGCGTAAAAACAAACCGAGGTCGCGCGGCGTTCGGCGACGGCGGCTGCGCGGCGGGAGCGGAACCGGTCACGCCAGTCGGCGGGGCGTCTGTGACGGGGCGGGGGGGGGGGGGGTGGACCAAGGCCCTGGGGGAGTGGGTCGGCTTCAAGGGAATACTCCTCATTTGGAGATACCGAAGCAAACATGAGATAGTATGAAATCAGCTCACTTATAGCTATTGGTATATTACTATATTTTTACATTATATTATCATACATGTTATAGACATCATATGGTATTATGTATATATGTTATGCATGTTATATGTATGCTATATGTATGTTATATGTATGTTATATGTATATGTATGTTGCATCATATGTACGTTATAGACATCATATGATATATTATCTACATGAATACGTATGCGTAGTTATATATGCATATATATATATATATATATATATACATATATATATATATATATATATATATATATATATATATACATCAGCATATCTTGGTATAAGTGGAAAAGACTAGCCTAGGCGGCAAAACTTCTCAGTGTAGTAAATATGCTCATCAATGCAACAGTAATTGATTGCGTCATCGCACCTTGCACAACATTGGTTGAGGGCCAATTGGCGGCCGTTATATCTGAAAATCATGCTCGCGAACGCCAAATATGAGCGACTCGACAATTATATTTGCTTAGTCTTGGCCCCTGCACGGCTACCGGGATTATTTAAGTAAGGTTATTATGGCGTCATAGATGCGTGGGTGGCCTTGAAATAGTCTCCTCGTAAAAGTCTGCAAATTTTCGCAGGCGTGTAACTCAAAAACTAGAGTGGTTCAGGTTTTAAGAATGGCAGGGCTGTGAACCGCACCGAATGGTCTTCAAGATGGCTATTTCAGTTCAAAATCCCCTTCAAATGTGGAACACTTCCTCTCAGCTCCCTTCGTAAGGCGCTTCGTGAGCCGAACAAGGCCTGACACTGGGCCGGCCCGGAGCGAGGAAAGCGGCTGATGTCTCACCCGAAAGTGAGAGGGCCTCCGCTGATCAGCTGGACGACCAGGGGAAGGGGTGACCGATACTCCGCTGACTGTCCGGGGGAGGGGCGTACCCCTGGGAAGTCTCAGCGGTGCCGGCTGCCCTTCCAATCACGGTCGGCGTCCAAGGTCGGCACGGGCTGCACGTCCTGGCCGATCGGAGCTCGCGCGCCCGACCGGCCGGGACGACGGAGCCCCGCCGGCGCGCGTGCGCTGCGCCGTCACCGGACTGCGTGGCGGACGCTGAGCTGGTATCAACCAGAGACCGGCTGAGGAAGACGGCCGCGGTAGGCCAATACTAGATACCCACTTGCCCGGCATACTAAACAGCCCCGCTCTTCAGCATGGTTTGGCAGCCGCATTCCTAAGCACTATCCCTGTGAAAGTGAAAATGCTAGTCTCGCGCGGTCGTGACACCGTGCCTCCACGAGTTGTACCGGTTGGGTCTCGCAGCGTGTGTCCCACGTCGTGAAATTTGTACTTATTTTGAGCATAACGAAACATTGTTGAACTGGAGGGGCCCGGAAACCCCATTCGTAAATACGTGACTTCAACGTCGCAGATGCACGGCATGCATCGAACTGAAAACGCAAGTTTGCTCCAAAGGTAACGCCATGTCATGTACCTATTCTGCATGCGTGGGCTGGGTCACGGAAAGAGTGATTGTCCCAGTGTGCTATATCGCCCGGCGCCTTCCAGTGCATCTATCTTTAACACTTTTGCCATGCACCGTTTTCGTTTAATTTTGTATTTATCGATATCGTCGACGATGTTAATGCTGCCCATGCAGCAAAATGCGCACGCATTCCGAGGCATCAGCGTGATGAATGTATGATTGAGTCAGTTTAAGGTATGTATTGCTACGCATTTTTCATTTATCTTCCTTGACATTGTTGTGTGCTCCCTCGTCACTGCCTACTTGTATATTTCAAGATCACAAGCCTTTCAAAAGTGTTTTACTTGCATATATTTTACGTTTGACGTACTTCTTCTTTTTGTCCTAAAAAAGCAAGCGTCGACCAATTGATGGATTGCGACGAAACAATATCACTTACGTTACAAAACTTTTCAAGACTTTTTTATAGGCCTGACGGCAAACGATTTGTTCAAGCCCTTTTACCCTGAGTTCCGTGTGTCTTATATTTGGTATCAAACTGCGCCCCTGCCTTCTAATGCTGTCGTGAAGATGGCCAAATTGTGTTTTTCTTCAATGATCTGGGTGAACATCCAATTCTTCATATTGTCATTCCAAGCATTATATCACTCACGCATTATCTGACCAGTTTAATAATGCCTTTGGTTAGTTGACGTGTGCAACATCGTCAGAATGAATCCGGCGGCACGAACAACCAGGGTCGGTTAGACACTTAACGATTGGGCAAACGCTAACTATGCAGTGCATCATTACCGGGTTCATGCTTCGCCTGGGGAAACGCAGCGCATCGGATGGCTGCTTTATGCTTGAACACTTATAATACAAATACAGATGGTGCCGCAGGCATGCCTGCAGCGAAAACTGTTTTCGCCTTTGTGAGAGCGAAAGCAGTCTCCGTGACAAATAATCGATGCCAGAAATGTTGTCTCTAAGCAGGCGCCCGCCAGTCAAATGCGTTTAGTAGCACCTGACACGGATGGGCGCATTCATTAGCTCGTTGATGGCGCCATGGACCGGCCAATAACACGCGTAAAATGGTGAAGGGTCTCCCACAGCATTCGTTTTACCGTCCACACAGATTGCAAGCGAAAATAGCAGTATTTATTTCCTCACCCAGCCCGAGTGCTCTTAGGTGAGATACGGGCTGCAGTGACGCTAGAAACGCTAGCAAACTTTCGAAGATAGAATACGCTTAACGGAATGAAACTGACATGTTGCATGGTTTTCGGCAAAGCATGCTACGAATTAGCGTACTCCCCTAGAGAAAAAAGTTTATTTCCCTTTACTTCAGTAGTCAAGCGCCTGGCGCTCTTCCCACGATAGCGTTATGGCATATGTAGCTTGAAATAATTGGCAAAAAAGCCTCTTTATTCTTCAGAGGGAATTAGAATAAATTATATAGGATATTACTGAAGGACAGGACAGTGCGTTTTCAAAAAGCGGCTTTTAAACTCAGCAAGCTCTGAACTAACAAAATGCTGTTTATTTTCTGTTTCATCTTCGCCCGTACGGCTATGAACTACTACAATGCGATAAGAAAGGTTTCACTATCACATACTCGCATGAAAAAGGACCCCATTCTAAGACCTCAAATTTCGGGGTTGTAAGATAGGCAGGCAAAACTACTGATAAAGCAGAACATATCAAGGAAATCAGGAGATTTTTCCGTAACTTTCGAACCAAACGGTTTTAGGCACGGCTCATGCCTTAAGCCCTCGCTGAACTCGGGGACCTGACAGCTCTCGACCTTGGAACAATATTACAGCTGATACGGCTGGTGCTCTCCTCCTATGTTCTCCAGCCTTCCAAGTCTGACAGGCACTGAGGAAATGCTGGTTGTTGTGTTGAACGGCTCATTGTTTGGTCGGTATGTCTGAAGAAAAACCAATGAAGGAGCGAAAAAATCTGTCGATGTTATTGTATTCATTAATGAGGTGTCAGAGACGGCAAGGTAATCTTTTCATACCTCCAGGCAAAAAAGACGACCATTAGGCATTGGTTAAATAAAGGAGCACGCAACGTTTCCGGAACGACATCACGCAAGGAGTGTCTCACGAGTCGTGGATGGTTGACTTGAAGTCAGAAAACAAGGATGGAGATGCGCCCCTGCGAACAGGCTCGTATGACTTTGCCTCACGCATCTGACACGCTGCAATTTACAGCACCTCTTCTCCAGCAGTCAACGTGCGTATGGCTGGTATTTGCTAGCATTTACCTGCTGTATGTGTACTAATGCCGCATGCTCCACCGAGCCTCCCCGGAGTGGCACGACACAAAATCAGAGCACACCGTGAACAGCAGGCGCCCAAGCCGACACAGCACGACAGAATGACGACAGAAAGGCATGACTAACAGTTACTGAACACAAAGTGCAGCTGGCATATGGCCTGCAAGATCAGGTGGCAAATGCTCCATTTGCGTACACACCTCGGTCCATCTCGCCGTTTGAAGAACGCCCCCCCCCCCCCCCCCACCACCACCAACAGCATAGTTTGTTGCAACCAGCTTCAGTGTTTCGGGTGCATCTCCGATATTTTGATGCGTCGTAATGCAATTTAGGCTAGCTTGATTTGATACCACTGTTCTCCAGAACGTAAAGTTTAAAATTCGTGTCGGGTCGCCAGGTTCCTGTCAGGTAAACGGCCAATGACCTCGTTCCGAAAGCCCTGCAGTGTAAAAATGTGGAAAATGAAAACTTCGTCACGTATCATGAGCTCGGCGCATATTTGTTTTAGTCCAGTGGTGATGGAGGTGTGAAGTAGCTACGTACAACACGCCATCAAAGCCCACGACGTTTGCGAAAGTATTCCTGGACAATGTCAAGCAACAAGTCAAGTAGAAAACTGAGTCAAATTAGCCCTCCAACCGTCGCGTCATGAACCAAGACAACGAGAACTAGTCGCCTCAAATTATCTCTTGGAAGTGAAGGATGAAACGCTTCTGCCTGCATCGGTCCCACTCGGAAGTCCCGCGTGAAGGTACACAGAGATGGAAAATATGTTGCTTGGGTTCGTTTTACATGACCTGACGTCATCTTTCCAGACATTCTGTGGTAAAGCGCTATAGATGCTGTGCGCAGTTGTTGCCCTTTTTTGTAGACGTCAGCTGGAGTCAGCTGTTCAGAATGCGGTGAGTCAGTTAGATTCACTCTGCTCTCCTGAAATTCATCACAAGTTTGACTGCGATTCCCCAAATAAACAATTCACCGGAAGCAGTCATGTGAATCAGATCGTCCCCTTTGACGAGCATACATTCGGCCGCTGTCTGACACAGGAAACACATTTAATTGCACGTGATAGCATCTACGATAAGGGCTCCGCAAAAGGACGAAAGGTTCCAATAGCTAATGGCGGCGGCACTCACGCGCAACACAACACCATGGTACGACATGGTACGGAGTGAACCGAGTGCAAGGCGCTCACATCAGGTAAAAGGTCGCCAAGAGTCTTTCGCCGAATTTGGTATAGCCGTCTTTTAGAACGAAGTCTTGGTTGTCAGATATATTTCAACACGCGCTCGGGTGAGGGACATGTTGAGTCCCCAAAGGTTTTTTTCCAGAATGATTTCCGGAGGTCGAAGCGCAACAGCGCAAAACGCCAAACTTTGTTTAGCTATAGAAAATTGAATAGCGGATATTTTACGGTAAAAAATTGATATACCTTGTAGGGTCGTTGACTTATGGCAAGTAAACGACGGGCCATGGCTGTCACCGAAGGGCATTTCTAGGGAATAGCTTAATGTGATGCAACAGTGGAATGTTAGACAAAGGCGTAGGTATTTGATATAGTTTCTTAGGCGACAAAAGGTATTGAGGTCAGAACGAGGTCAAAACTAGCCTGCTTTTTTACCCGAGAGCTTCGTTTTAAAAGGTAGTTTCTGATGCTCATTTCCAATTTGTTAACAACAGGAACCGCACCAATACGTTCCACGGATTCTTTAATGATCAGAGTAGATCACTGACTAAAAATGACCCAGGCCAAAATAATATTTTAGTAATATATCGCCTGGCGTAATCCCTGGTGCTTGACAAATCCCTGGTGAATGACAAAACAGGAGCAATGTCGTAGGTGTTTGGTCACCTTGGCCTCATAAAAGTCAGAAAGGCCAATGACATTAGTGACCTTTTGCTAGAACAGTTATGCAGCTTCGCGGCGGTTGCATGAGGTCTGGGGGCACTTAAAACATCAATCTGGAGTTTAACCTTGTTTGACCTTATTTGTCCCCAGGTATGAATCTCAAATTTTGACACGAGTAAGTTCACGTACAGGCCAACCCATCCCACGAATTTGGTATTGCCAGCTGTCTGAATTTTTAAGATTTTAGCGTGGTCAAATTGCCTCCTGCCCGAGTGAAGGTTATCCAACCGGCCGCCCGGGCGCGTGTCTATGCAATGTTACATTGTGTGGATTGGTGCTGAGAGCATAACCTTTCCAAAAAAGCGCATTTACTTCTTTCCATAAAAAAGAGATCGAAATGTAGATCCCAGCCTGATGTTAACATCGGCCATACAACAGATTCAGATCTGATGCAAACTCAGTGAACTGTTCTGCACCAGGCGATGTTGGGACAGACGCGGGCTGTGTGCCCATAAGGGCGGGGGGGGGGGGGGAGGGCATTTCGCCGTGATTGGGCCAGAACTTCGAACGGCGTTGGGTGTTGTGGGGTCCAAAAGTAAGCTCGGACGCAGGGTGCGTACGTCTATTGGCTGAGTGCATGGGGGGTTAAGCGCAAGTGCACATGCGAGTGCATGTCATGGTTATGCACGAGAAATTAGTGGTAACGTAATGATAACATAGCTTTAAAATTGGAAAATGGCACGTATATTAGGTTCAAATAAATATGTAGTTATATATATATATATATATATATATATATATATATATATATATATATATATATATATATATATGCCTACAAATATAATTCCAGGTCTCAGGAGCCGTCCATAACTTACATTACGTATGCAGGGAGGGAGAGTTTTGATGAAGTGTAACGGAAGTATAACAAGGGAGGGTGTTGAAGATTTTAGAAAGTGTTGTGGGACTGTTAAAGAGTGACGTTACGCTCAGGTGCGTTTGCAAATCATTTAAAAAACATGTTTAAAAATAATCAAAATCTTACAGTACGATCCCGTTGGCTACCTCTCATTGCCAGCAAGACGTCCCTTATTTGTTTCGCATCTCTAGCTTAGTTTTATAGGCTAAACGAATGTTACTGTTCTGGTTCGTTGCAATTAACTGAGGGTTACCAGGGAGGATGTTTCAACCAGCGCAAAATGTGCGTAACCAAGGGAAGTAATGATAAAAGATGGTCAACAATTCTTAACGCAATTTATGAACGGCCTCCTACTCAATCGCCATTTAGGGGTAATACATTAACACGCAACAATTCAGTCTATATATATATATATATATATATATATATATATATATATATATATATATGCACGTTTGTATTCATGCATGCATGTATCATGTATGTATGTATATATGTGTACATGCATGCATGCCTACATGTATGTATCTATGTATGCATGTATGTATGTGCTCTTCTGAAGCATGACCCGGTGGCAGCGTGATCTGCATGTGGCATGATCCAGTGATAGCCAGGCTGGATGAAATCCGGACCCTCGTTCGTCTAACTTTTTAGTAAACAGCTCTGTAGATCGCTTTTAAAAACATAAACTTATGGGATTGTTGATGCTTGCTAGCAACGTTCTTAATTTCAGATCGTCGTTCTGAAAGAAAGCTGTCTGCAAATTACACGCATGCTTCAGAGCGCTCGGCTTACGCCTCAGCATAGCAAGGATGTGAGCCTGCACGGCGATCGTGACAGACCGTGGATGTGCCGCTTTGCGCAAGGGGCCGCCTTAATTGGTGCGCACATTTCAATCACGCTGCCTGAAGCACGCCGCTTGAAGCGCGTGACGTATTTGTAGCACGACACCGGCAGCGGCCCTCCTGACCGAGCAGCACTGTAACACGACAAGCGAACACCTCACGACGAACGCGCACCCTGGAGCCCTGCATGCTCGCCACTGTACCCACCGGCTCATTCTCCACGTTGAGACCCTCCACCCACAAGATGAGCCGCGACAGGCCTTGCACTGTGTACAGCTCCTGGTGGACGAAGACGGCCAGTAGGATGGCTAGTAGGCCGGGTAGCAGCCAGGGCTGCCAGCGGGGCTGCTTGCCGCTCGCTGCCTGCTGCAGCCGGTCGTAGCCGGACAGGCTGCGCAGTTGGGCCGGCTCCACGTGCAGCTGCCGGCAGCGCGCCAGGATGGCCGCCACGCGGCCGCCCAATTCCTTCCCGTCCGGCTCCGTGCGGGTCATCACGAATACTGGGGGCACGGCCGGTCCCGCGCCCGAGCGGCACCCGCTAGCCCCTGCCCGCGGCAGTCGATCGCAGCGTCATCCGACGACAAAAGCCCAACTCACAGTTCCCTGGCGGCGCGGCGATCGGCGATGTGGTCTGATACGGACCTGGAATAAAAAGCCGGAAGGACCATTTAACGAATGCCTTCTTGTCGACTGCTGAAAGACGACAGTGGGATTTTGACACGTAAAATATTCAAATCGACTTGAAGGCGGCCGCAAAAAGGTGAAGGATAGAAACTGACCGGCCAGAATGGCAAAAAGCGAGCCGGGGAACAGCGAAATGAGGACATGTTAAAAAGTCGGCATGTCAAATTTGCGAACGCCAATATCGTGAGCTGCAAAATGGCGACGTACCAAAACGCCGGCAAGCCAAAACGGTGAGCGTTCAAATGATGAGTCGTTACGGGATCATGTTTTAATAACTGGTGACATGGAAAACGACGACATGACAAAATGCTTTCTGGCTGTAATAAAACTGCAATTTCGAAAAGCACTGTGCCTTCTAAAGGCGAGGTTCAAATCCAGCATATGGGAACGTTCAACCGAATCTTCGCAGTCGGCGAGCATTTGAATACCGGAATCAGTGTTGAAATATTCGAGACAATCGAATACTAAAATCATAGCGGAAGAATTCCAAAAAGCTAACTGTTTTTCACGTAAGCAACAGGTAGGTTTCAGATCATACTTTCGGGCATTAAGTTAGAACCGTTGTGTAGATTCCCTGACAAGATATCAGTGGTAACTTACATTGATAGCGAGCTGGCAATGAAAGCGGCTCCGCCACGCAATATTTTACTTTAATTTCTTGACTTTTACCTCCTAGCAGGCAGTATCACGACACCAATATTCTCATTTTCGGGATGTCCATCCGTCCGTCATGTACAGGTGCATTCGCGCCTGGTCGCCGGTGCCAGCTGGCAGCGGAAATCCGGCGCACAACTGGGCATGGCGGGTTGATCCATTGCAATCGATTGGTGCTCGGATCCGCCCGGAGGGGCGCCGTCGGTGCGTGTAAACGTGCCCCATTTGTTGCCCACGGGAAACATGGCATTTGCAACTTAACAAAAACCGCCAAGACACATGGTGAACTGCTTGTCTGGGATTTTGGAGGGGGTCTGGGAACTGCGCGTACGGGATTTGATTCCCCACGGCGTCCGCCCTTCCTGCCAGGGTGAGAGACAGGCGACGGCATATAGCCCCAGCTGCTCTGAGAAAAGCACGCACAATCGTGCAGGCGGAAGTATGAATCGATGTGCGCTGGGGTGCACGTGCACTCGTACGCTAATCGTGGGCTCGGCGGTCTGGGAGCGTTTTCAGGATTGATGTCAGCTCTCGGCGACCCGAGTAGATAACGACGTGAAACCGAATGCACCGTGCAGGCACACGCACCGTCTATGAATCCATCACCACCCGCGAATTTTTGACACACGTCGATTAGTTCACATCTGACCAATAAAGCAGTCGTCATAAAGCAGTCGACAAAGAGGCATTCGGTAAGCTACGAAACGGCTCTTTGACCGCACACTGTCTGATACAGCGGTGGTACGCCCGAACACTGCCTGATGCAGCGGTGGCACGCCCGGACAATGTCTGATATAGCGGTGGTATACCCGGACATTGTCTGATGCAGTGGTGGTACACCCGGACACTGTCTGATGCAGCGGTGGTACGCCCGGACATTGTCTGATGCAGCGGTGGTACGCCCGGGCACTGTCTGATGCAGCGGTGGCACACCCGGACACTATCTGATACGGCGGTGGTACGCCGGTACGCCGGGTGTGTGCATCTGCATGCCTAACTCCAAACATGGAGCAGAGTCAACGTTTCGTCGCTGGTTATGGAAATCGCCAACTGAAAGCCAAAAAGCTGGGACATCTGAAATGTAGCAAATAATGGTAGCAAGTAGTTGGCTTTGGATTATGATGCTGTCAAATTGCATTTCAACGAATACGAAGGTGAATTTTCCAAGTAATTATGTCGGCCAATAACCTAAACAGCTGACGATTTTATCATGTCAACAAGGCATGTTTGTATAACACTACGCTCCTACAAAAATGATGTTAATAGCAATAGATATAAGCGTCTTTAAATCTCATCCTTGGTATGTAGACAAATGAGCTTGGTAGACTGCTTGTATGAAGGAAAAGCAACGGAAACCAATAAAGTTCAATAGCATTTAATGGGTATTAGAACATTACATTGAAGCGGCATGTAAAACGCGTGAATAAAATCAGCCATGAATAGACTTGGAGATGAGCTCACGTTTTTTGTAATTATACTGTTTCGATTTCCTCACCGCGTAAAAAGCTTGTGTTTCGATTTTCCCCTCTTGAAATGTGACAGGGCATGATGGACGAACCATACCATGGCGCGCGGTGATATCTGTCTGGAAGCTGCAAAATCGGACGCCCCCTCGGCTGGCTTGTTGGGAAACTTGTCTGGTAGATTTTAAGCCAGTGTAGTAAACTGACAGGTGGCTGAAAAGCAAGAGGATCATGAAAGTATGATACTAGGATTAAACGGTGGTGTTCATGCTCTCGTGCTTAAACTGTTTTCTCTCTTGCATGCAGCCATGGGCGTAATCTCCTAAAATGTGTCAAGGGGGCGGTTGAACAGTGAAAGATGACGAAATCCTCCCTGGGGGCTGGAGCGCAGGTTGGGGGCCTGGAGTTCCCAATTGATTGGGAAACCACGCCCCCGTTGTTACCTTAATCCCAAGACTTTAATTACAAAGCAGTTTTCCGTCAACCTGTAGCGCTTGGTTTTGTCTGCAGTTGATGATGTCGAGCAGCCCACCGCCATTTGGCCTCAAATGTGGCTAAAGCTGCGAAAAACGGCGTAAGCAGCTAAGCATAGCCTGGTGCCTAAAGATGCTAACAATGCCTGATTTCATGTCCCGAAACGACCTGTGACTGGATCGTCACGATGAGCCTACAGGTCAGCTCATGCTCTCTGCCGAGGAAAAAACACAGCTCTCTGCTGTGTTTTTAATCGGGTTCACTGGAAAAAGGTCCTGTACTCATTTAACAAACGCTCGGGTGGGGGTCAAATTGACCCCGCCCCAAAGGTTTTTCCAGAATGGTTTCCGAACAGCACGGCGCAGCGGCGCCCAATTTTGCATAGCTGCAGACAATTGAATAGCGGATTGTTTGGCATACAAAATTTGGATGTAACTTGTAAGGCCGCTGACCTATGGCAGACCAAAGTCAAGCCAAGGTTTCAGCGAAGTAAATTTCTAGGGAATTGTTCAGTTTGATTCAACAACGGAGTGTTAGACGAAGCCGTACATCTCTGAAATGATTTCTTAGGCAGCACAAAATTGAATGAGCAAATCACGTTGATCTAAGGTCAGTTATCAAGGCCAGACCAAGGTCAAAACCAACCTGCTTTATTACTCTAGGGCTTGCTGTATGGGATATTTTCTGGTGCTCATTTCAAATTTAGTGATAGCAGGAACCGCATTATGCATCTTCCATTGACTTCTTAGAGGTCAGAATAGGCCATTGAACTGAAATGACCCAGGTCAGCATTTTTTTAGGAGCATACTGCCTGGTGTAATCTTTGTCGCTTATTCAAATGCCAAACCCAGAACAGTCTTGTATGATTTTGGTCACCATGACCTTCAAAAGGTCAAACAAGGTCACTGATCTTAACTGAGCATGTGACCTTTTGCTTAGAAACAGTTATCTAGGTTATGGGGGCACTTTGGAGACTGACCTGGATTTAACCTTGTTTGACCTTATTTGACCTGAAGGTCAAAAACTAAGAACCTAAAACTTTGGTCTAAGTGAGTTAACACATAGGTCAGCACACCCTATAAATTTGGTGTCTCTAGCTCTCCTAGTTTCCGAGATCTCAGGGGGGAGGCAAATTGACCCCCCACCCGAACGAAGGGTATTTAACCGGCCACCCGGGCGCGTGTTAACCTAGAGATTAACGTAGGGGATTATATCTGTTGTGCTGTCTGAAGTGATTGTCGGTGTACCAGAAACGAGCTGTGTACCTCTAAACCGCTTTTTCATGCTAATTTCATTCTCAACAGCAGTGGTGTAGCCAAAGGGGGTGCAGCTTTTGGGAGCATGCTCCCCCCTCTCCCTTCCCTAGAGATGGCAAGAGCGCGAAAATGTCCGAAGGCTTCTGCGCTTTTAGGCTGTTTAAGATGCACGTATGCCATGCCGTGAAAACCCACACATCACGATCATGCCACCATCGCTTAGTTTAATTCCCGACACGTGGTCAATTTTCGCCGCGGCATAGCGACTACGTGCAGGCTGCGTGCATGCACTTTTCATTCACACACGCTCTAGCGCCAACTTTTCTACCCCTCTTCAGTTGTTCAGGAAGCCTTGATACCCGAAACCGTCGCCGCCTCCGCCCTGCTCTCCCGATAATGCATGGAGATCGACGTAGCGTGAGTGAGCCGACAGACCACTGGACTGAGGAAGACACGCGGAGACATTTATCACCGAGCGCGGACTGACGGTATCTCTCGGCCGTGGTGCCGGATAATCCAGACGCCTGTTTGGTAGAGCAGGCGTTTGGCGAGAGTATGGCAGCAGATACCACTGCGTGCAAGACGCCGACCGGGCCATTGCCATGCCATCTCCAGGATGGTCCAAGTGGGTAAAATGGCACATTCACATACTTTGAAGAAAACTTAAGCTGCTTTTAAGCGGAAAAATGATTTTTGAAGACTCCTCTAATAATGCGGAAGATAAATCCGATGAGTTTTTAAAAACCTCGGTCGACTTTTGTAATTTGGCCCTAAGCTAGGGTCACCCCTCCCCAAGCGATGTTCTGGATCTCTCGTGGTCGTGGTGGTGACAGTTCACGTGGACCGTCTAATTTGGATTAGCGGTCAGCAACTACGCCATGTTTTAATTCATCTCACTGCGATCAATGAACCGAGAATTACTGGTGTTTCACTATTGCGGAGATAGCTACGTGGTCCACAT